TCCAGTTCAAGCGTACTAATAAGCACAAATTACTCTAGACACACATTTGTGTCTTTTTTTATTGCTGAAGTGTGTTGAAATGTCTTCTTCTGCATTCTACTGTACGGACGTAAATGTACTTTTCCTTCAGCCTGAGGTTTATTCATTTCACTTTTGGTGTGAGAAGGCTTTTATATTTGCAAAAATATAACTTTTTTTATTTTAAAAACAAACACGCAAGCCCTGTCCAGATTTAAAAAGTAATGCAAAAGTAACGTAACGCATAACGTAATTAGTTACTTTTTTATGGAGTAATGCAATATTGTAATGCATTACTTTTAAAAGTAACTTTCCCCAACACTGCCTCCGACATTCTTCTTTACAAATCCTCGGTTTGTGCTTGTAATTCGTGATCCGCGTTTTGTTTCATTCTCTCTAGTCACTAATCACGTCCTACGTCATCCGCTGGAACGGTTTCCACGTACCACAGTTAGATGAAGTGAGAGAAAAGTGTTTATTACGTTTGAAATAAGGGTATTTTTCTTACAAACATGCATGGATTCGCTACAGGAGGCCTTTATTCACGGCCCGGAGCCATGTGAAGCACGTTTTATTAAGGAATGCATGCGCTTTATTTGACGTGTTTTGGACTGTTAAACAGAAACACCCACCCACTGCAATGATAACGCTTTGAAAGAGCCAGGATACTTTTTAATATAAATCCGATCGGATTCGTCTGAAAGAAGAAAGTCATATACACCTAGGATGCCTCGAGGGAGAGTAAAACACAGGCTAATTTACATTTTTGGGTGAACTAACCCTTTAAGATTTGAAGACTTGTTTTCTGAAAAATGTATCAAAATGAGTTTATGCTTAAAACACAAACAAATATCTGTCAGTGGGGTCAGAAAAATATTTTTAAAAAAATGTTTTCTTTGTTGCCAGATAATTGTTCTTGTTTTAAGCATAAACTCACTTAATTTTGAGATTTTTTTTCCCCCAGAAAAATAGCAGGAATTGCATTTAAAGTTTTTATTAGTTTTATTTAAATGTTAGTCATTTTAGTACATCAAGTTGACTGAATAAACGGAGTAAACTGAATTCATTTTTTTATATTTTCTTTAATTTCACTTAAGATTTATTTTATTACTAGTAACAAAATATTTTTAAAATGATTTTAGTTTTAGTTAACTATAATAATCCTGCTGTCTTGATTATTTGATCAGACTGTCAAATGTTGCAAAATTAAAAGTACATTTAAATAAATAAATAGATGCAAAATAGCAATATTTATACTACTACAAATGTTTGGAGTATGTAAGATTTTTAATGTTTTAAAGAAAGAAGTCTCTTCTGCTCACAGAGGCTGCATTTATTTGATCAAAATTGTGAAATATTATTGCAATTTAAAATAACTGTTGTCTATTTGAATGTTAAACTGTAATTTATTTCTGTGATCATAGCTGAATTTTCCAGTCTTCAGTGTCACATGATCCTTCAGAAATCATTCTAATATGCTGAATTGCTGCTCAAGAAACATTTCTGATTATTATCAATGTTGAAAACAGTTGTGCTGCCCAATATTTCTGTGGAAACTGTGATACATTTTATTTTTCAGGATTCACAGGTGAATAGAAAGTTCAAAAGAACAGCGTTTATTTGAAATAGAAATCTTTTTAACATTATAAATGTCTATTCTGGTCTCTTTTGATCAATTTAATGCATCCTTGCTGAATAAAAGTATACATTTCTTTCAAAAACTAGGATGATGACTACTCACCATTCACTGAACTAATGGCTTTAAATGATTTTTTTAATAGCAGGCACTATACAGTACACACTAGGCAGTGAGCAGTGCTCTAGTATTGCATTGTAACCGTGATCTCCATAAAACTGAGTCTCGAGCACTTCTCTTATGAATACACCTCCTGAATAACACGTTTATGAAGATCCATTAGTTGAACATATTGAAATCCTGAGGAGTGCAATCCGATCATATGCTTCAGCACATTCAGATGGAAGATACAGACGGATCAAATTACCCAGCATCCCCTCTGACCAGCTTCCCAAAAATGCTTTCAGCAGGATTTGAGCGATCAGGTTATCCTGGATTAGAGCAGATTAGATTTGATTATGAGATCAGAGGAAATTTACTATAGGATTAACAGAGCTGATTATCACACACATGTAATGTGCATATACAATGAAAATAACATCTGAACACAGATAAACACACAGCGGCGAAATGTCTTTGTTTCAGTTTTTGAATGTGTAGACCTTTTGCATTATTTAGAATGAGCAGTTTTTGCCAAATTCTGCAGCGTTTGTGCTTCAGATATGGATGTTTTCTCAAATCTTGTGTCTTGTTCATCAACACCACTAAGATTTTCTTTGGAAAATATTAAAATCTTTTTAGCTTTTATATTTAGGCTTCATAAGATTTTTATTCATGATTATAAATTATTAAAAATGTAACACACACACACACACACACACACACACACACACACACAGCAATACGTGACTCATATGAGAAATCATGATGACTCCAGATATGACTGTATCTTTCTCTTTCCATATATAAGTGCATCTCATAAAAACATGTCGGTCATATTTTTCCCCAAAACCTGAACAATATGTTTTTATTTTGCAGAAATATTTTTATTTTTGCATAAAGAACCATAAAAGTATAATGGATTGTGGCATTATTTTATTGACATTAAAATGGTATGTTTTTTTTTTTAAATAAAAAAATCATTTTTTATTTATTTATGGAATTTAAGAGAAAATGTGTTTATGGTTATATATTTATATATTAAATACTTTTTATCTTTTATTTTAGTGTATTTTTACAGAATTTTTTAGGGAAAAATGTGTTTAATTTTCATTAGATTGTCTCTTAATACTGTAATATGTTTCAAGTAGCAAGAATTTCAAAGAAAGAATAGTTTAATTTCCATAAAAATAAGGTCATAGTTCTAAAAATAGTTCAAAAAGTAAGCTTCATTTTCTTTGAAAAAGAAAAAAAGAAAAATTAATTATTTTCATTAGATTATCATTATTATAATATTATATTATAAAATATAATCATAAAATAATTTATATAATATTATATAAATATAATATTATAATATACATTATTTAAATGCATTTGAATATATCTTATATTTTCCCATTACAGATATATATAAACATAGTAATGAGAAAATTATATATATATATAGATATATATTATTTAGAAAAAAATTTGTCTTTATTTTCTTTTGCATTACAGTAACAATGTCATAATTCAAGTCATAATTATGCCATAGTTCTTAAAATATTACTGTTTGAAAAGTAGACTTCATTTTCTCTAAGCAAAAAATTGTCTATATATTTGAAGAGTTAATTTGCAAAAACCGATAAATGCCACTTTAAAAAAAAAAGAGCTGATTGCCTGCATTATTCTCCACATATAGCACAATCTGAACCCTAAACACGTTTTGACAGAAAAGCCGGTGTTTTGTCCACTTTCAAGGCATCGCGAGTTCACGTTTTACAGCAGAAGCCGACAAGCGCCCTTGTTGTTTTTGAACAGAAGCCGATAAGTCCATTTTAGCGAATCAGCGCGCTGTATTCAGGTCAGGTGACAAGGCTACTTTCACTTTGAAAAGGCGTGCTCTTAATACTGTAATATGTTTCAAGTAGCAAGAATTTCAAAGAAAGAATAGTTTAATTTCCATAAAAATAAGGTCATAGTTCTAAAAATAGTTCAAAAAGTAAGCTTCATTTTCTTTGAAAAAGAAAAAAAGAAAAATTAATTATTTTCATTAGATTATCATTATTATAATATTATATTATAAAATATAATCATAAAATAATTTATATAATATTATATAAATATAATATTATAATATACATTATTTAAATGCATTTGAATATATCTTATATTTTCCCATTACAGATATATATAAACATAGTAATGAGAAAATTATATATATATATAGATATATATTATTTAGAAAAAAATTTGTCTTTATTTTCTTTTGCATTACAGTAACAATGTCATAATTCAAGTCATAATTATGCCATAGTTCTTAAAATATTACTGTTTGAAAAGTAGACTTCATTTTCTCTAAGCAAAAAATTGTCTATATATTTGAAGAGTTAATTTGCAAAAACCGATAAATGCCACTTTAAAAAAAAAAGAGCTGATTGCCTGCATTATTCTCCACATATAGCACAATCTGAACCCTAAACACGTTTTGACAGAAAAGCCGGTGTTTTGTCCACTTTCAAGGCATCGCGAGTTCACGTTTTACAGCAGAAGCCGACAAGCGCCCTTGTTGTTTTTGAACAGAAGCCGATAAGTCCATTTTAGCGAATCAGCGCGCTGTATTCAGGTCAGGTGACAAGGCTACTTTCACTTTGAAAAGGCGTGCTAGCTGAGAAGAGTTTCGTCAAAGCTGACTAAAAGTGATCGAGGATCATTTCAACAAACTTGATGAACCTGTGATATCTGCTTCAGGGCGAAAAAGGAAAATAAAAGCTGAAACGTTTTCACGGAAGCTTGCAAAAGCAGCTCGTTACACTGATGAGGGAAAAGCTCTGTGTAATCACATCCATACAGTTTATGATCACAACAACAACGTTTGTCAGGCATCTACGTTATCATACGAGGAGATTACAAAGATTAAACCAGTGTTTTTTAAAACTCTAAAACATGAAATGTGGAGTTATCGGTTTGCCAAAAAACGACTGTTGGAGTTATATGCTCTTGCTATAAAACACTTTTAATATGTAAAAAAAAACATATTTTCAATGAACTTTAATTTAGTAAATTGCCTGTGTTTGTTTAAGTTAAGTTGTTTATAGTTGATTGATATTACTTGGAATGCGCAATAAAAAAAAAACGTGATTTCTGAAAAAAAAAAACCAATTGAGTTATCGGTTTTTGCAAATGAACTCTTTTGTTTTTGACAGGTTTTGTGTGATCCATTCATTCATGACTGAGTGTAAAGTGCATTTTCATGTGTGTTTAGGTTGGAATGGGTGGAAATCATCGAGCCGCGCACCCGGGAGCGCATGTACGCCAACCTGCTGACGGGCGAGTGTGTTTGGGACGCCCCGGCGGGCGTGCAGATCAAGCGCAGCGGACAGGACCAGTGGTGGGAGCTTTTCGACTCCAAAACGTCCCGATTCTACTACTACAACGCTTCTACCCAGTGCACGGTCTGGCACCGCCCACACAGCTGTGACATCATCCCCCTCGCCAAACTACAGACCCTCAAGCAGAACACCAACACGACTCCGCCCACTGCGACCAGTGCCTCCGCCGACAGCAGCCCCGCCCGCAGCGCCGTCAGCACCACATCCTCGCAGGAGCAGGAGGAGAAGACGTCCACCGCCGAGGAGGGAGACAGGTGAGCACATCCCAGATCTTAAAGGAACACTTCACCCAAGAATGAACATTAGCTGAAAATGTGCTCATCCTCAGGCCATCAAAGATTAGGGTGAATTTGGAGAAATGTAGCGTTGCATCACTTGCTCACCAATGGATGCTCTGCAGTGGAACAGCTGATAAAAACATCTCACAAGTAATCCACAGCACTCCAGTCCATCAGTTCACATCTGGAGAAGACAAAAACTGAAACAAAGGAAAAAAATTAAGAAATTTTTTGAAAAAATACGAGTTCATAATCCATAATAAAGCTTCCTCCAGTGAAAAAGTGGTCTGGTCAGAATCAGGAGAGAAATCTGCACAGATCAAGCACCGTTTAAACAGCTCTAAACAAATATGTGGCTGGATTTTGATGTGAGAGACAACAGGAGATACACTTTTTCACTGGAGGAAGCTTTTTTATGGATTATGGACTCGGATTTTGACCAGAAGCGATGGTTCAATGTTAAAATCTCTTAATGCTGGATTTGTTTCAGCTTTTGTCTTCTCAAGATGTTAACTGATGGACTGGAGTGTTGTGGATTATTTGTGGATTATTGTGATGTTTTTCTCAATCGTCTCTCATTTTGATGGCACCCATAATATACTGTACCCATATATAAAGTTTAACCAAAATACCAATAATAACCAGAGCGGGAAAATCTTCCAAAATGCAGGTCTTTTAACTGTAAACAAGCCCGAAATACACTGGGACTCTTATTTTGAAATGTCTATGCTTTGCTGTTGCTGGATCTATTAGCTTAAAATGTGAGGTATTAATTAATAGCTTTTATTTAATGAGATCATCGCTTTTTGAAGTATAATAATCACATCAGGCAGTATCACAATTCCTCTTTTTCCATCCCTAAATTCAAGACCTCTTCAATTGATAAGACATTTGTTATAGCATTTATGATATCTAAGACTTTTTAAGGACTCACTGAGCCTTTTTTATTTGCAGACATGCTCCTAAATACATTTTACAGTTCGCACACATCTATTTTTTGTCTTAAACGCTAGTGAAATGCTCGCACTCGAGCCCTGGAGGAACTGACACGGAAAACATCCCAGAATCCCTTTTGATTTCACTCTGAGACCCAGACGACACCGGAGGAAGTCAGATTTCATTTAGTTTGACCGTCTGAGCCAGCTTCCTCCTTACAGCCGTTCTTCAGACGCTCTTTAAGACGGACAGCTCTTGTTTTTAGTTGTTTCATTAGATTATCGCTGTAAGTGGTTTTGAAGAGCTCGACTGGACCAGAAATAAATAGCTTCCTGTTGAGACTTCAATAATATATGTGCACACTACAATATTATTCATGCTATTTTTGCAGTATATAGTATGTACACTAAAAAAAACATATATATTTTTGTTTTTTTGCACACAAAAAAAATTTATAATTTATAATAATTTATCATTTTTGTCTAATTATTCTTAAATCAAGATATGTTTATTTTAGAAGCAAAATTACTTGTTTTGTTTTCTGAACAAATTTACCAAAATTGAGTTTTTGCTTAAAACATGAATAACTATCTGCTAATGGGGTTTTTTCTCTTTTTTTTCTTTTGAATTAAGTTTATTTTTCTTGCCTCGTTGACGGATACTTTTTCTTGTTTTAAGCAAAAACTCATTTAATTTTGATACATTTTTCGGAAAATAAGATGTAATATCTTAAGCCTTATGTCTAAGTCTTGATTTAAGAATATTTATATATTTGTACTGGAAAATAAGACAAAAATACTGATTAAGAATTTTTATTTTTTTTGCATTCAATGCAATTTTCAGACTGTTGCACTCTATTCCATGCATACAGAAAATCAACATACTGTACATAGAATACATCTTGTATACTGCAAAAATAGCATAAATAGAATTATAGTGTGTAAGAATTTTTTATTTTTTTTGTCCCTAGAGAATTCGTTTTTTTTTTAGCAATAACAGTATAACCTTTCCAGACAGACCTACCATAAGCTCTGAGGTTATTATCGATGCATTATGCCTCCATAAAAGCCACAAACTCAGTGTGATTTTGCTTTTAATTGCTGAAATCTTTCCGGAAACCTGAGAAAAATGGGCAGTCCGAAGACATTTGCACGGTTGATGACGAATGGCTTGATGCTTAATAGTGAGAGATATGTACGATTTTGCGTGTGCATTAAAAAATGAATGGAATAAAATGTATGATTGAAGAAAACAGGCATAGCACTTCAAGCTGTTTTTTAGATTTAATATTCCAACAGTGTCACACTTAAATAGTTTTATCCCATGAGGAGTGCGGAGACGAGGAAGGGAGGGTCGTGAAATGATTTTGTGTGACAGAGGTGGAGGAGGAGGCAGAGGGAATGAAAGAAGCATAGAATGTGTAAATTGATTTGAAGGTCGGATATCCATGAATAATTAATATCCAGAGGAAAACACTGCTCACTTTGTGGTGGGTCTCTTGCTCGAGAGAGAGACTGAGTGAGAGATAAGTTTCTTGTGTTCAGAGTTTTAATCCGGCTACTAAAGAAGTGAACACACACACACACACACACACACACACTCTTGGCTGTGTAATCCAGTCTGGTCATGGGGAGCCTTCAGAGGGCCGTGGTGGCCAAGTGCTGAATTGATTTTACACACTTCTTTTCTTGATGCTTAAAGGCCTTTTCTGTGCTCTTTAAACTCACAGAACTCTTAGATTTAGATCTTTCAAAATTGCCCTAGAAAGGCTTGAAGGACTGAGATTTTTAATGGTGCTCGATTTGAAGTCGAGCATCACTTTTATTATTGCTATAGTTAGTGTTAGTGATTTGAACAAACCCAACATTTTCATCAAAGTACTCTACTCTTACTATTTTTCAACTGATATCATCACTCCCTCTTATTAAATCTCTTATTTTATCCTCATGGAAAAAGTAATTTTTTCCCCTCATTGATAACATTTATTTACTACTGCATATTCAAGGAGATTTATTGTAAATAGTAAAATAAAATAAGATAATATCTTTTTATTAAAAAATAAATGTTTGTATTTTTATTTTGTTTTGTTTTACTTTTAATGATATGTCCGTTTAATAAACAGTAAAGAAAATCTGATTTATTATTCTTATTTACAGTCTTAACTATTTATTAAAGAGGAATGAAACATGAATATCACAAAGTTAAAATAGAAAAACTAAATAAAATGAAACAACAAAAAATTACAAATATAAATGTTTATATATGAAGAGTTTGGTTCCAAAACGCGATAAACGCCATAAAAAAAAAAAAAAGAGTTCCCACCAAAATCAGTATTGTTTCTGGTCGGTATTGAAAAGTCCATTTTTAATTTGACTCAAAATGCGATATCCGCCGTGTTATTCTGTCATGTTTTCTCCCTTTCTTTCCAAACCGGCGACAAACGCCAGTTTCCCTTCTCTGCAGAATGCGATACATCCGTTCAACCAATCACAGCGCACCATTCCACGCATTGTAAACAGTAACAACCAATCACAGCGCACCATTCCACGCATTGTAAACAGTAACAACCAATCACAGCGCACCATTCCACGCATTGTAAACAGTAACTGGCAAGCTACGCAATATCGCGTTCATAAACGCAGATAAATCGCCTTAGATTATGAACGCGATATTGCGTAGCTTGTCAGTGAATTACGGCTCTGTGTATTAAATGCCGCTCCAGTTGAAAGCATGTGACGGAGATTTACTACTAATCACAGAACCGGCTTTACTGGCGAGATGCGCATGACAATCTCATGCGATTTATCATGCATCCCTAAAAAAATTTATAATTTTGACGACATTGATGAACCTGTGGTGGTTTCTGCGGTGGGTAAGAAACATAAGCTATTAACAAGATTAGTATTGACCAAGTTCAGAGGCTGTCATATGTGGATCAACTTACTTTGTTGTGTATTTTCAACAGTTTCAATATGAAAAATAACTTTTATATTGATTCAATGGATTTATTGCATTTTGGGGGGAAAATAATCAGTTTTATAATAAATCTTTGAAAATCAAAATCTGGATTTGAGTTTTTAATGTTATTTTAACCTAAAGATGTTATGTGAAAGTTTGAAACAGAAATTAGTGGTTTTCATCTTGCCACTTTCTTGGTAAAGAAAAAACATTTTTACTCAAATTAATCCAAATGGATTTATAGCATTTTGGAACCAAACTCTTCATATGTTCATTTATTGAATCTTTTTATTTTACTTTTCATTGTATTACTCCTTTAATAAATAGTAAAAAAATATTTTTATCTATTTCTTATTAAAATTATTGATTTTAACATTTGTTACTATTTTCTTTTTACTAAAATTTGTTTTTATTTTCTTTCGTTTAGGTTCAGATGGGGCACTGGCACCAGAGAGCGTATGCTCATCAAAGTGTCGGATCGAGAACCCAGTTTTCTGACGCAGGGAAACGGATACTCCAGTTCTTCCCCACGCTCCAGATGCCCGTCCAGCAACACTCCTTCCGACCCCGAAGCCACACCTCTTTCTTTGCCCGACCGCCCATCGTCGCAGTCTCCATTTCTGAAGAGAGCGGACTTGGGCGGCACTCAGCGGCACTGCTCGGGCGATTCCCAGCCATCGTCTCCCCGCTATGCTTACGAGCCTCCTTTGTATGAGGAACCACCCTCGGAATACCAGTCCCCACCTATTTATGAGGAACCGCCCACTGACATGCACTGCGACCAGGCCTTTTTTGGCTCCGACAGGTCTCCGGCGCGAAAACCAGGTCTTTACCACTCTCCCAAGCAAAGCCCGTCTCCTTACGGTCAACTGGTGTTGACGAGACAGCGGAGCTCTACGCCCGAGAAGACGCCCAATCAGGGCGATCGAGACTATAGCTCGAGTGGGCGGGACTACAGCTCTGCGGGGCAGGACTGCAGCTCCAGTGGGCGGGATTATAGCTCAGGCATGAGGGAGTACAGCTCCGGTGGGCGGGAGTATAGCGCCGCTGGGCGGGAATATGTAAAGCAGCTAGTTTATGTCGAGCAGTCTGGCTCCTCCCCTCGGTTTAGGACAACCGAGCGTCTGCTGAGCTACGGGACGACCAGTTCAAATAGCCTGTCAGCCGGATTTTCTTACGGCGGCTCCTTTACGCTACAGCACAGTCACGATCTCAACGGTGGCAATCGGAAACGTAAGAACCGGAAGCCGTCTTTGCCGGGAGGAGAGGGCGATGGCATGGGGTCCGGTCTCGGGGCCATGATCACCCAAGCCCGGTTGGCATGGGAGGCTCAGCAGATGTTACATCAGCGAGGGGGTGTGTCTTCCGACCAGGGAGCGAAAGACGGGTATGAAAGCGACGGGGCGACACCCCTGCCGCTGCCTGGTCCGGTGGTGCGGGCGTTCAGCGAAGACGAGGCTCTTGCGCTACAGGAAAGCCACTGGAAGCGCGCCACCCTGGACAGACTGGCATTTCCTCAGACGCTGCTAGAAAAGAGTCTGTCGGTGCAAACCAGCCTGGCATCACCTGAACCTTACCTCCATCCCTCGCAGGTAATGCACAACGACATGCGCGTTGCATCAGAAACTCAAAACATTGCAGAGATTCCCATATTTATGTCACTGCAGTGGATGGGAGGTCATTACCAGATTATTGCGATACCTGGGACACATTACAGTCCTGATTGCCATTTATTTTAGGTGCTGCAATACTCTGCAAATTTATTTTATGATTTATGTGAGTCAACCATCACCTTTACAGTTAGTTACTACTTCAGGTTAATCCTCTAACTTTCTAACCTCTAGTATTAGGCTAATGATACACGGGGCAACTTTTTGAGCGATGTTGCCGAGCGATGTTGCTTGGGTACTTTACCATTGAGAATGGTCAACAAATTTCTATCTGGATACTTTAGTTTAGTTGTGGACGAGTCCTAAATTCATGTGTCTTGTTAAGGAGAGCTGCATAGTTACTTTACTAAGTAATTAAATTCACTGTTCTCATCTTCTGGACCATAAAACCAGTGAAAGATCCCACAGGCGTGCACTGTAGGAAGCATTACAATGATCTAAAAACCTTCCAGAACCCCCTAGCAACTACTTAGCAACGGTCTAAAAACCAGGAGATCTCAAATTTAGAGGTGCCAGGACTCTTTTGGTGTGAAACAGTAAAGCACCCTAGCAACTGCATAGCAACACTTTAAAAACCGCCCAGAAAGCCTTAGCAACTGCATAGCAACATGCTATGAAACCTCCCACAATGCTCTAACAATGCTCAAGCTCTAGCATAGCATCGCTTTAAAAACCTTCTGTAGCACCTACAATCATAAACCAGAGGAATGCATTTAAAGAAATGGAGGCTTTATTAGACATTAGACACGGTTTCATTAACAGCTCAGATTGCATTTGCTGATTGTGTGTTATGATGTCAGTTTCAGCGGATCAGTAGAAAGTGTTTTTGGACACATTGGCGCTGAGGTCTTGAATAAGCTGGAATCCTCTGATGAGCTGAACTCTGAGCTCTTTCAGCCCAATATAATGAGCGTTTAACTGTCCTGAATCAGGCCTGACCTGCCGCTTAAGAGCTGCCAGTGAGGTTAATTGGGCCGGCTGACCCTCAGACGCCTGTTACCCAATCACTGATATCTTTGTTCTGAAGATACCGGGCTGAGCCAAGCTAAACTGTGTGAGAGTTTCCTTGGAGGATTTTTTAGGTTCTGCTCTATTTGCTGATGGTAATGGAGGCAGACAGCAGCTTCAGCAGGAACAGGCACGCAAACCTCCCATAACACCCCAGCAACTGCGTAACAACCCTCAAAAAACCTCTTAGAACACCCTAGCAACTGCATAGCAACACTCTAAAGAACACCCTAGCAACTGCATGGCGATGCTCTAAAAAACACCTAGTACGGCCTAGCTACTGCATAGCAACACTTTGAAAACCTCTTAGAACACCCTAGCAACTGCATAGCAACACTCTTAAGAACACCCTAGCAACTGCATGACGATGCTCTAAATACACCCAGTACGGCCTAGCAACTGCTTAGCAACTCTCTAAAAACCTGTCAGAATCCCCTAGCAACTGCATAGCAACGCCCTAAAAACCACCCCAGAACACCGTAGCAACTGCATAGCAACACTCTAAAGAACACCCTAACAACTGGATAGCGACACTCTAAAAACACCCAGTACGGCCTAGCAACTGCTTAGCAACTCTCTAGAAACCTGTCAGAATCCCCTAGCAACTGCATAGCAACGCTCTAAAAACCACCCCAGAACACCCTAGCAACTGCATAGCAACACTTTAAAAAACACCCTAGCAACTGCATAGTGATGCTCTAAAAACCCCCAGTACGGCCTAGCAACTGCATAGCAACACTCTAAAAACCTGTCAGAATCCCCTAGCAACTGCATAGCAACGCTTTAAAAACCACCCAGAACACCATAGCAACAGCATAGCAATGCTCTACAGGGCTCGCAAAATGTCAAAATCCCTGGTAGTGTCACGTTCACCTAAGGCGAGGAGCGAGGAACGAGGAGACAAGGCGTAAGTAAACTCACAATAGTCTTTAATTCGAGAAATCCAAGGGAATACACGGGGCAGACAGGAGCACAGAGAACACATGGGTTGACGTACAATCTCCAACAAAGACAGACAGCACAGACTGGGGCTAATAAACACAGGGCACTCAGGGGAACACAGGTGCATGGAATGACTAATTAAAAGGGACACGGAACACGTGGGTAGGGAAAACACAGCAAAACCAGTCCAGTGGAGTGGCATTACTAGGGGGAGCGGGCAGACAGTATCCATGGGGGAGACGATGGAGGGAGGAGCCAGGGAGGAGACAGGAGGGGCTTGGAGCAGGAGGAGCCCTGCAGGACCCAGGCCACAGCCATAATGTCGACCCACGGTGGAGCCACGGAGGAGGAATGGCCGCCGACTCCAGGAGACCGACCAACGGTGGCAGAGTAGGTGGTGGAAGAGCCCGAGGTGGAAACGGAGAGCCGATGAGCCAGGGCGACGGGGAGGATCCGGAGGTCCTTGGCGGAGCAGACAGTGCCGGCAACCGACGCAAAGATGTGGATCCGGGAGGCCGCGGTGGAGCCGGAGCGACCGAGGACTGAGGAGGAGCCAAGGGGATGAAGGAGCCCGACGGAGATGGAGGGACAAGGCGAAGCCAGATGAGTGGAGTCCCGAGGCGCAGGATGGTCGACGCCAGACCAAGGCGGAGCCAGAGGGACGAGGGAGCCTGGCGGAGCTTGTGGACTGCCGGGCCACGGCGGAGAGGAGGGAGCTAGGAGCCATGGTGGAGTCCATGGGATGAGGTGGAGTCCGGGGCTTAGAGGCTGGAGGCGGAGTCAAGGGAAACTCCAGCCACGGCGACACTGGAGGATTGCAGTCCCGTGGAGCTTGCACCGCATAGATGGTGGGCTGAGGGCGAGCAGAGGGGCTGCTAGACGACAGCAGAGGAGGAGACAGGAGAGGGTGGGAGGGCGTGCATTCGTGAGCCTCCGGGCATTCAGGGTTAAACTTTGGATCAGGAGCCCCCTCTAGGCTGATCACCGGAATAGGATTACTCTCTGGAGGAGCGGACACTTTAGGGTGCAGGCACTGGAGGCACTGGAGGGTGCTTTCTAGGAGCAGGCACTGGAGGGCGCACTGAAGTGGATTCGGGGACAGGAGCCCTCTCCTTTTCGTCTTTGCACATATGCCGCGCCATACTCAGCTCACCCTCACCCGCGGTGCAGGAGGCGGAGCTCCTCTCCGCGCTCACACCGTCCGTGGCTTTCTCCCTCGTAGCAGGCGTTGTTGCCGGCTCACACACCTTGACTGATGTCATCAGCGGCAGGCTCCGGCTCTCCGTCAGCGGTGGGCTCGGGCATGCGCTCCGCGCATCTGGGAGATGGTGGACTGGGCTCTGGGTTGGGAGTGGCACTGGCGATATACTCCTGGGAACCGGCTGGGAACAGAGATCCATTTCTCGCCAGTGTCCACTTCACAAAGGCAGCGAATTCCGCTTGAGGGCCATCTTCGGATGACGGAGCTCTGCACGTGATGTTGAGGCTGGTGTCATAGAACGCGCAGAGCGCGTCATCCGGGTAGGTGGTTAGATGGGCAATGGCCAGAAACAGTCTGGTATGACCCTTGAGCGATTTCTCCCCCTGCTCCAGCAGGAGGAGGATGAATTTAGGGCAAAGGAGGGGGTCCATTGGGGCACACAACGGAAACAAAAACACTGAGAGAATAACGAGAAACAAAACAGAGGGGAAACACGCAATTTAAACTGTTCTGATCGGAGATTCTGTCACATTCACCTAAGGCGAGGAGCAAGGAACGAGGAGACAAGGAATAAACTCACAATAGTCTTTAATTCGAGAAATCCAAGGGAATACACGGGGCAGACAGGAGCACAGAGAACACATGGGTTGACGTACAATCTCCGACAAAGACAGACAGCACAGACAGAATTAAATGTGTTTATGCGGTTTAAGGTTAAAAAAACACATTATTTTCCACATACTGTACATTATTGTTTCTCCTCTATGCCCCGCCTTTCTGAAACGCATCGATTTTTACAAAGCTCATCGGTCTCAAAAGCGAGGTGTGCTCTGATTGGCCAGCTATCCAGTGCATTGTGATTGGCCGAATACCTCAAGCGTGAGACGGAAATGTTATGCGCCTACCATACTGTTATGCCCTGTCAGGCCGGAGCCATGATTCAAAAACATGAAAACCCATTATAAACGAGGCATTTGTTGCATCCAGTGGGGACATAATTATGGATTATAATGACTTATACTGTCTTTTTACGCGTTGCGTTGCATCGCGCCGCGTAAACATAAAACCATGTCTGCATTTGTGATCGGAGAAATGACAAACAACAAGCCCTACTCTACACTGCCCAAAAAACTCGCTTTAAATATAAAAAATATAAAAACTCTTTAAATATAAAAAACGTACTTGCAGTACGTGAGTCAGAACAGCCAGCATTGTAGTCTATTCTCCCAGGATCAGGAAACAGTCCTCCATAAAATGTGCTGCACACATCTGAATATTTGGGTTGAAGTGTTCTGGAACAGTGTTGTAAATACAACTTAACCACTGATTTCTAGTCGTGTCCATTTTTAAAAGGCCAAACAAAGTAGTTTCACTTTCACAACGAAACACAATATCACACGGTGGCCTAGAGTGAGCAGAAGCCGGGGGCTAGAGTGAGCAGAGACGGTGGGCTTGAGAACGGTGCGGCTGGCGGATTCGACGATGGAGTGTCCGGAGGGCTTGCGGCAACCACATGTGACGACCCCGGGCTGGACTCCGCT